TAAGCACAGCCCTCGGCTAGCCTGAGACAGCAGCTCCACGCTCTAAGTCCTAACCTGATGCCCTGCCGGCACTGCTTCCGGCCAGCCTTAACTTTGGTTCAGGGTCCACTCAATGTGGACATGCTAGTTCGAATTAGCAAAATGCTAATTCGAACTAGTTTTTAGGTCTAGATGCTAGAATTAGCTTAGTCCAAATCTTATTGTCTCTATATAAAATCATGGTACACCCATCTCTTGAATACTGTGTACAAATGTTCTCAAAAAAGAGATATTGGCACTGGAAAAGGTTCAGAAAAGGGCAAAAATGATTAGGGGTTTGGAACGGGTCCCATATGAAGAAAGATTAAAAAGACTTGGACTTTTCAGCTTAGAAAAGAGGAGACTAAGGGGGGATATGACAGAGGTCTATAAAATCATGACTGGTATGGAAAAAGTGAATAAGGAAAAGTTATTTACTTGTTCCCACAATATAAGAACTAGGGGTCACCAAATGAAATTAATAGGCGGCAGGTTTAAAACAACAAAAGGAAGTTTTTCTTCACTCAGCAAACAGTTAACCTCTGGAACTCCTTTCCAGAGGATGTGGTGAAGACTAAGACTTTAACAGGGTTCAAAAAAAAAACTAGATAAATTCATGGAGATTAGGTCCATCAATGGCTATTAGCCAGGATGGGTGGGAATGGTGTGCCTAGCCTGTTTCTCTGGAAGTGGGTGACAGGAGGGATCATGTGAAGATTACCTGTTGTGTTCCCTTCCTCTTGGGCGTCTGATATTGGCCACTGTTGGCAGACTCCAGGATACTGGGCTAGATGGACTGCTGGTCTGACCCAGTATGGCCGTTCTTACGTTAAACTACCATTTCACTTGATTTTTCTAACCCTCAAATAGGAGACTGATCTATTGTGCTGGCACAAGCCCCAGATCTTTTTCTTTTGAATTCTACATGTTCCATACAAGATGGAGAGAGAGAGGGTTTTTACTTCAAGCTGTACATCAACAAAATAAAAATAGGGACAAATTGTAGAGCATTCAGAGAAGCACAAGAAACATTATTAAAGGGGGTTGGGTAGGGAGAGACAGATATATGAGAAGAGAGGTGATTTTTTGAGATAGTCCAAGAGAGTGTAACTGAGAGTGTTGGACTGAGGATGAGTAAAAGGAAAATTATATTGAATGTCAGGAAACTTTCTGACAGATTTATTACACTGTGGAAGCATTTCCCAAGGACAGCAGTGAATTCCTAATCACTTGAGAGCCAATTAAAGCAAGACAGGACAAAACTCT